GCAGTTCAACATGGCGGAATCCTTCACAGAAATAAAGCAAAACAAAATTTGGTAAAACTGTCGGGATTTAAGTTCATGTTCTAAAGGAATCAGATTACTCTTTGAAATGTACATTTAAAGGTAGATTTGAGTTGTATTACTCAGATTCTGTTTTCACACACTGAACACACTACATAGACCAGAATGCAACGTCTCAGAGTTCCTCCTACTGAGCCTTCATCACACAGCTCAGGTGTTTCTGTTATTTTGTCCACCCCTCTGTGTGTGTGTGTGTGTGTGTGTGTGTGATGAAGAGGAACCTGCAGCCCTCCGTTGCTCTGCCGGATGTCTCCTGCGCTCTGAAGGGAAGTTGAGTCACTCGAGTGGAGAAAATTTGTTCTTTCGTTTCTGCTTTTGTGTTTCTTCACTTCGCTTTGAATCATCGACATTCTGGTTGCATAAGAACTCAATGTGAAACTGGTTTTGGTGAATCTGTGGGCTTGAGCGCAGAGGAGCATGCTGCTGCTAAAACGACTGATATTTCAATGAGGTTTTGAATGGGGGAGTTTCCTCTCGCTGGCAGCTTGTAAAGATTCTTACAACTAAAACAGTTGTTTGAGTTTTCTGTTAATATCACAGTGATGAAGTTGTTTATCTCCGGACCAATCACTGCTGGCGGTCTGTCACAGGACGTGGTTTGAGGGGAGGAGTGAAGGCAGGAAGAGCGGCTGCGATATTAAGGAGGAAACCTTATAAGGTGAAATGAATGCGACCAGAAAGACGTTCCAGCTTCTGTCAGTGAAACCTAAAAACTTTCTGCTGATTCTTTTATATTTGACCAAAGATCTGTGGAGTCTTAATAAATCACATTTTCAGTTGGTTTCAGGTGCCTCTGAGAAAAAATCCCATTATGAGCATTCAATATGTTTCCACCTGGAAGTGGATTAATCAATCTGTTCTAGTTCAAAACTGACAACCAGTTAATGATCAGAGTTCATGTTGCTGTGGTTGAGACACACACACACACACACACACACTGATGGTACTGATGAGCTGATTTGTTTTATTAAATATTAAATATTAAGTTTGAAGGTTTATGAATTTAATCTAAGGTGTTTTTATTGAATCGCTGTAAACTGAATAAATCAGATGAATGAATGAATGAATGAATGATGTTTGCAGAACAGGGTTTGGTTCACTGAGGAGGAGCTGCTGACCGTGTTAAAGTTGAACATTTGGGCAGAACAACTGAATCTGACCCTCAACAGACTGAGATGAAGCTTTCCTCCAGTCTGCTGCTGTGTGGCTCTGTGCTGCCACCTGCTGGTCAGTGAATGCACCGCCAACAGTCAACAGTTCAGACTGAAGGATGAATCCGGTCAGAACTTTAATTTGTCTCTTTCATCTGATTCATTCAAATAAAAGAAACATTTCAGACTATAATTTCAAGATAAAATGTAAAAGTTTTCATGTTTTCGCTGCTGTTCTTTACAAGTTCCTGTGAGGACGAGGAAATAAACAACGGTTATATTCTGTAACTTGTTGAACAGTTGGCTGGAGAACCAGACTGAAACAGATGTTAAACCTGAAAGACTGTTAAACTAGGACAGTAAAAATATATTTATGGTTTCCTCACATAAACTGTAAAAAAATCCAAGATGGCTGACGCACAGGTGAAGCTCAGTGGCCTTCGCCGCCTACATCATTTGGAAAAAGAGATCTTCAGGACACACCTGGTTCCTAAATTACAAAACATTGTTTGTCTCTGTTACACAAGAGTTTCAATAAAATGTTACTGAGGCAAAAATAACTGACTCATAAAATAATGATTCTTATTAGAATTTCAGTGTGATATCCTCCTGCATAAACATAATCAGACTTACATTATACGGCAGAGTGCTTGCTATCTATTGGATTATTATTATTTTAATGTGATTTAAAGTTATAGAAGTGTAATAAAAGTCATTATCTGTGAAATTCCACAGGTAATTATTGCTGTTTACACTGATAAAAACGGTACATACATCAAAATTACACATCTAATAGTGTAGCTGGTCTGTGTGAGTGAGTGTGTGTGTGTGTGTTTATTTATTTAGAAATAAAAAGCAACGTCTAAATCTTATTGATTAATATACTTTGTTATGGAATATTCTCGTTCTATTATATTTATTATATATTATTACAGAAATTAGCTTCTATAATCAATTTATTATTTTATCTGTGAAATATCAGAAAACAGTGAAAATGTCTCCGGCAGCCAGAAGTTGTTCTTCCAACATCGTCTTTATTTAACAGTTTATTTTCAGTTTATAACAATAAAACCAGAATCAGAGAATTGTTTGGACGATTAATTTTCTTCCAATCGACTCATTGCTCGACTAATAGTTGCAACACAAAATACAACAGTCTAAAATGATCCTTTAAACCATAAACAAGGTTATTGATCTGATCACACTCGCAGACTGCAGCATCAGAAGAACAATAATCCCATAATGAACTCTGATATGTACAATATGTAACAAAAACACTTACACAACAATATGTGAGTTCCCATCATGCACCTGACACACACGGTCTGTCTCGAAGGTTCAGTTTCCCACAATGCACTGCACACCGGTCACCTGCTCAACGGTGCATTCAGGTGATTGAACTGATCCCAGTTTAACATCCTCAGTTTCTTTTTAAGGGAAACTTGGAAATTGTTGACTTTACGTTTCAACAATGAGCGCCTGAACGCACCGTTAGCTTTGGATCGTCTAATTTTGAAGCATTCGTGATGCGTTCAGTTGTCATCAGAGAACTCGAGACAGTTGTCGGCCGTGTGACGGTTAAAACTCTAACACCACACCGCTAATTCCCACAATTATCTTCTTATACTGAGCGAACAGAAAGAAACTACAGTGACAGTAAAACACTTCCCACTAACTACCAGCTCCTCATCCATACTACAAACCCTTCAGAAGCCCCGCCCCTTTCTGCTGTGTGGTCCAATCAGAGCAAGTCTCAGTCTACTTCCTCCTTTCCTGTACTTAGATATGCTATATGCTAAGCTAATCTATGTCCAGGTTCTTTATTCAAACTACTATACGGTAGAAAGACGAGAGACAAATGATTTTGGAATCCGGTTTTTGTGCCAAAAATTAAAAAGAAAATGTTTTTTTTCAAGACAAGAAAGTTGCAGTTTGTCGCAGAAACATTTAAATTCAGGTTAGCACCAACGTGGTCGCCGTCTTTATGCTTTCTCACCGGATGTGTTTAATCAGCTGTTCATCAGTTATTATAGCTTTATATTGTTCAGTTACTTTTATTTTTATCTTCAGTTCAGTTTCAGTTTGTTTGTTTGCACAATCGGTAGAACAGAACAAACACATAAACTCACAGTCTCAAACATTTACACCGACACCAACTGTTTTCTCTCAGCTAGTTTTAGTTTTAGTGAACTAACTAATGAACTAATAACCTCGGCTCTGGTTGACGTTAGCTTGTGGAGAGAGAAATATGTAATTTTCTTACAGTTTACAGACAATCGGAAACTTTCTTGACTTAAAAGTATTTTTTAAATTGACAGGAGTCATATATTGAACTCACGGCACACAGCCGTTCACTATCGGACATATTGTTTCTGAGATACGGTCCTGTGGTGGTCCACAGGGAGGAGTTTGGTCTGAACCAGAGCGGGAAAGTTGTCTCTGTGTATTTCAGTAGCTCAGTTATTGGACGACGTGTCATCGAAACAGGCTGCAGGCTGATTGGCTCGCACCTTTCAACAGGAGGAAGAAGCTATGTGAGGTTTTAAATCTGGTCTTTGGAGAGTTTTCAACCCCGACAGAGAGACAGAAAACTCTTTGGCATAAAAATGGTCAAACTTTAAGAAGCTGAAACAACATATTTTTACTAAATCTACATCCAGCGAGAAGATCATCTCGTTTGTTTTAGAAACGTTGGGTCAGTTTCTCTTCAAGAAGAAGAACTTGTTCAGTCCTCCTCTTGGTCTTCTTCGTTGGTTTGTGCCGCTGTAAGCTGTGTCGTCTTCAGTCTGAATCTTTCCTCAGTTTAACGGAGAGAGAAGTAAAAGGCGGATGAGTGAAGCGTTAAAAGCTGATGTTCCCTGTGAGCGTTTGTTTCGTTCATCACGATGAAGATCTCGTGGTGAGACAGAAGCAGGTTTGTAAGTTTTGAGACTCCGGTTCAGTGGCGTCCCTGCTTCTTTTTAAAGATCTTATTGAAAGCGTTTCTCCTCCGGCTGCCGGACGACTCGCTCTCCTCACCGCCATCCTGCTCCACGGGACTCCTCCTGGTCGGGTGCTGGACGGCCATCCCGCGACCGCTGCCAGACGAGCTGGACGAGGCGGAGGACGAGAACACGAGCGGTCCATCGGCGGTGTCGGACGTGATGCAGAGGGAGCGGGTGGAGCAGGAGGAGGCGAGGGCGGTGGTGGCGGGGTTGCCCCTCAGCTCCCCGAGGCTGGAGCTCTTCTCCAGGCCTCCTACTGCTCCTCCACCGAGCCCGGAGCCCTGACCCTGCAGGGGGTGGAGCCTGGATGAATGAAGGAAGGGCTTGGAGCCGTACAAGCCTTGTGATTCGCTGTGAGAGAGAGGGAGGGCGGAGTCAGAGTCTGAGCGGTTCATGATGTCCCTGAAAGACAAGGAGACAAAAATCAAATCAGAAGCTAATCTTGCTAACATGCTAAACATGGATGTTTATGAACAGAGCTGCAAAAACTTAACGTCTGAATCTTTCCTGCCCAGTTTATCTGTGAAACGTTTGGGATTAAAAAGTGGATTTATTGTCACTGAACTTCATATTTATACAGAGACCTACAGAAGAGAGGAAGCTGGAAAATATGTGTCTGTTACTTGATTATTTGGTTTTATTTTACTATGAAATAAGTTAGCATAGCCCTGATCAACCAAACTCCATTCAGAACCTGTCACCTGCCTCCAGATCAGCCAGTGGAGAAATTCAAATGCAGAAGCTGTGTTTCTACCAGTAGAGGGCAGTCGCTCTCTATTACTCTACAGAGCTAGGTGGAAATGTCTTAAACCTGCATTCTTTCTAAAGGCCAGCAGGGGGCAGCTACAAGGGCTGCAAAGAGACTTGAAACTAAAGATTGAGACTGTTTACTGAGCTAATAAACGTCTTCATAAGACTCAATACTATCAGACTTATTATATAAATAACACATCCAGCTGTTAATGCATCCTCTGAAAATATGACACATACTAACACTTGTTCTATCATAATATGAAGGTGACGACCAACTATAAAGGTGTTACTAAACTATGTGAAAGATAAAATACAACAAAGTTAGGAAGGGAAATGGTGAGTTGGAAGAGATTAACTGAGAGCTGTGGCGTACATTGGACCTCATTCACAAATGTTTTCTTATTCTCCTCAAATTCTTCAGAAAAAAATAAGAAAACAATTTGTCTGATTCATGAAAAAAACACAGCTATTTTGCAATTTTTACTTTCTCCCACAATTTCACAGAAAAGAAAATGTTTAAAACATCACAAAAGGAGTTGCAAGTTTTTTGAAAAGCTGAACTTTTAGGCGGTAATGACCCCACAAAAAGTCCTGTGTAATCTATAGGGATTAGTTATAAGAACAGATAAGACAATTAGTCGTCGGCGTAGAAAATACCCAAATTTATAGGTGGTCTGTAAATAAATCCAAAATGACCACTTATAAAACTCGGAAACGTTTAATCCCGACTTCTCCTTTGAATATTTTAGAAATAAAATGATCTATTTAGTCGAACGAATACGTTTTCTGCGAGCTTCACCAATCATAGCAGATCCATGCGCAAAACATTGAGTCACCAAACTATTAGAGATTTTATTCTCACTGGAACTAGTTGTCTTTAATTTTAAAAGAAATATTTTAGGTTGCAACAATCCCCCAAAAATCCAGTGAAATCCTGGAGGGACTAGTTTTAATTTCAGATAAGACAATCAGTCGTCGGCGTAAAAAACTAATTTACCAGTGGTAGTATGAGATACGAGATAAAAATAGGATTTTTTCTATGTATTTCTCTTTTATTACTTTTTCTTCTTGTTTCATTTTTTTTATTTCTCAACCCTTTAATAGGAAAGTCCCAAATTCTGCCCACTTATAAGACTTAAACGGCCTCTTAATTCTGGCCTCTCATAAATTTCCTTTTTATATTTTAGAAATAAAGTTCAGATCAGATCTGTGTGTACGAATGTTTCGGTGACGAGGTCCACCGATTCAGTTTTTTCAGTCTCGTTAGTACGTCAGTGTCGTTAGAAAGCGGTCGTGCAGAAGAAGATACCCAAAGCTGCCGGAGCGACAGCGCTGCCTATGGCTTGTCACAGCGCCCCCTGTAGGCGGGAGGCTGGATGCCGCCTCCAGAGAGTGGAAGTACAAAGAACGGAAGAGCAGAGCGGAAAAATGTGCGGTGCCTTCAGCGTAGGAAGAGGAGGAGGAGGAGTCGGTGGGGGGAGGACAGAGTGAGAGGGCAGGGGGGTGAGGAGGAGAGGCGGGGCCGATGGAGGGGTGAGACAGGGAGGAAGAGAGAGAGGGGGAGGGCACGGGGAGGAACTCCAGCTGGCCAATGGAGCGGCTGCGACTCTGCCGGCCACTGGGAGGGCGGGATGATGTGAGTAGGCCACGCCCTTCCTGCTGAGGTAAGCCCCGTCCTTCAACCAACCTCTGAGAGCTGAACGCCAGAGCGGGGTCTCCTATCCTCTGTCGCAGGGGCATCAGACTCTGAGCTGCAGGAGAGGGAGGAGGAGTTAGACTGAGTAAGTTGTTTTATTTTAATAACCAGAAGTGAACAGTGTAAAGAGTGCGACGGACAACAAAGCTGAAAGCAGATAAAAAGGTCAAATTAACGTTGGAACTTGTCAGTATCTAAAATACAAAAACTCTCACATTTAAATTCAAACAACTTATACGTTGTTCATTCTGAACATTTACATCCAAGATCCAGATCTGGGATCTGGTCGGTGCCATTCCATCGATCCAAAACCTCAATAGTCCGAAAAATGTCTCATTGGACCGAAAGCCTATTTTGTCTGACAAATTCCAAAAACCCATCACTGCCCCGAAGGCCTGTTGTCCCGAAAATACACAGTCTGCTATAACCAACTTACGCACGTAACTTAACTGATGTTAGAAGATAAAGAAATTACAGTTTTTATTTGAATATTTATTCGGATATTCTGGATTAATTTCTATCTAATAATATTTAATATATTCAGGTATTAATAATAATACGTTCAGGTATTATGAATAATACGTTATACGGTATTAAGGGCAAAAAAATAGTATTTTTACTAAAACAGGCCTTCGGAGCGATGAGCGTCTGTTTTTCGGACAAATAGGCTTTCAGACTTTTGGGATTTCGGAATAATGGGCCGTCATTCAATCAAGTATTCGTGGCATTGTTAACTTGTTAACTAACAAAACATTGAACTGACTGAATCTGAATTGTGACTTTGTGGTTTTAGCTGCTGCAGACCTGTAAGTGGATGTTAGTGAGGAGAGGAGGGAAAACGGTTAGTATAGTGCTGAGTGATCCGGGTCTTCAGAGGGTGAAAGGGTGAGGAAGAGGAGGAGGAAGAGGAGAAGAAGGCTCCAAACAGCTTCGTCTGATCTGACCAGACGGAGGGAGGAAGAGGAGGGTGAGGAAGGTGAGGAGGCGTTCACACGGACACCTGCTGTTTGATAGCTTTTAGTTTCTATCAAACATCTAAAAGGAATATTTCTCTTTCTTTTTGAGAGTGAGATTATCTGGAGTTAGCCTAGCTTAGCATTAAGACTGGGAGCGGGGGATGAGACTCTCCGAGACCTTGAAACCTCGAGAGTTTACTCGATTAAAGGCACACTATGCAAGATTTTTACCTTAATATAACAGCTTCAAAGTCATTTCGATGGTAAACGAACTTGTAGTATAGCGAATCATCCCGATAGCAAAGCAGGAGAGGGATGCCGTTGGCAGAACCAGCAATGCAAGTCTAAAAGGTGACGTCACATACATCAGCGACATAAGAAGCAGCCTCAATGGAAGACACTAGCAGGCATTCACTCAGACGTGAATCTATCTATCTTTGCCTGTTCGATGTCCGACGCTTCCATCCTACTGAACATGTACGGTATACAGGGGGGAGGGGATCAGGCCGTGAGTGCAGAGACGCAGAGCCGTATATAGAGACGGCTCTGGTGAGTGGTATTTACGACAGTTAACAAGTACTCCGCAGCGACTCTAGGGGTAGCTGTTTGACAAAACCGGAAAACTGCATAGTATGCCTTTAATTCGTATGCAAACAGAAATGTAAAAAGCACAGTGTATGTGTTCGTCAGCACAGGTTTGGTTGCCAGGTTTGTCTTGTTACCATATCTGGCAACCTGTGACGTAGCCTGAGACACGGCGCCAATAAAATGTCCCATTGGACCCAAATTAACTCTGAAGATACAGAATCTGGTATCAACACGCTGACATACGTAATTAAAGGACTTATTTTAACCCCAACTGGGATATTTTCTTAAACATAGCCAACTAGTTTTTAGCCAAACTGCAACTCTTTCATAACATTAACCACATGTTAATTATTGTTGCCATGACGATGAAGGTCATCTGACTTTACATACAGGAAGATATTATCGTCAGGAAGCCTTCGGAGCCGTGGGTGTCTGTTTTCGGACCAGTCGGACATTTGTCGGACTGTCAGGGTTTCCGAATAACGGAGACACGTGGCGGATGGATACACTGTTGTTTGTAAAGAAATAGTTCCAATAAAACCACAAACTGGTTTTTACATTTCTGTTTGTGTGTAGCTTTTAACAGAAAACATGATTGTTAATCGATTGTTGAACCAGACAAGCTGATTCTCTCTGCTTCCACTCTTTATGCTAAGCTAGGCTAACTGCGTCCAGCTGGGCACTGAACACATCAGACTGATATTCATCCTTTAAACAGCGTTTATTGAAGGACTGGTGTTCTTTCTTAGCTTGAACAAACCCCAATTTAACGTTTATATTTATATATGAAACATTCAGCACAGAAATACTTTAATTATTCTAAGATTATTATAATTATTATTATAATTATATTATTATTATTATAAAACTTGATTTAAAATTTAAGAGAATCAGATGTTTTCTGTAAGAATAACTCTGCATATCACTGCAGCAACGTTAGCTTGATAACTAACAAAATTATCTTTTTAGTCACTGCCAGCTAAAACGTATATATATATATATAT